AATTTTTATAAAAAAACAAAAACAAAGAAAGAAGGGGTCAAGTCAAATAGTCTTCTTCACAATCTACATACTGTGGCTAGGAATGTGGTACAAGGAATCCGGCATCTCGTAGAAAAAGAGTATAAACAAACAAAAGGCTTTTTTAGAATTTTATTTTTTATCATAGATAATCATAATTACTAAAAAAAATTTGGTTCTTTTTACAAACTTGAGGTCGATAAATCCGCGAGTCTAGAAATTCATTTCGGACAATTGAACCTTCTCGAACTGTTTCTTTTTAAGAACCAAAAATATTTGTGCCAAAATAACAGATGCTAAGAAGAACAAAAGGCCTTGTACACGTAATGGATCTTGAAGTACTATTTTGCATCTCCCTGACCAAATCCGCCCACATTAGGATTACTTGTCAACGGCTGCTCAAATTTGATAGATTCGCCTTCTGAAACAAGAAGTTCTGGCCCCGGAGGGATAATATCAACCACTTGACGTCCATCCGATGCATCCGCTATGGTTATTTCGTATCCCCCTTTTCTTTTCGTAGGATTTTGCTTACTATACCGGATGCTGTAGCATTATAAACTGTATTGTTACTCTTGCTCCCGTCAGGATAAATCTGGCCCTTCCCTGTTTCCGCCTACGTATATAGGATATTTTAAGAAGTGAATGTCTTTCTTAGTAGCGGGGTCCGGGGAAAGAATAGGAAACGTGATTTCACTATATTTCTGACCAGGAACAGGGCCTATGACAAGAATATTTTTTTGATTTGGGCGGTAGCTCTGAAAAGACAGATTGCCCATCTTTTCTTTTATCTCGGGGGAAATACGATCGGGAGGGGCTAATTCAAAACCCTCTGGTAAAATAAGAACAGCCCCCACATTTAAAGCCCCTTTTTTACCATTAGCAAGAACTTGTTTCAGTTGCATATCATAAGGAATTCGAACAACTGCTTCAAATACAGTATCGGGAAGTACCGTTTGCGGAACCTCAATATCCACTGGTTTATTAGCTAAATGGCAATTGGCGCATACAATACGTCCAGTCGCTTCTCGTGGATTTTCATAGCCCTTCTGTGCAAAAATGGGATATGCATTTGAAATGGATGCACGAGTTATGATATATATCATGAGCGATACGGAAATAGATCGAGTAATCTGTTCCTTTATCCAAGAAAAATTATTTCTAGTTTGCATGGTCCAACCATTGATCCCGAAAATTTATACAATAAATTGGGGTAGGTCACTAATGGAGTTTCCTATCCACGATTCTGTTATTTACTGGAATAATTTGACTGGATTAATATATAGGATGAATCTCCGGGATGGGTAGAAAGATAAAGAGTGAGTACGATTTTCAATGCTTTGCTTATGTACAACTGCAAAGTAAGAAACATTCTAATTGGATTAGGTAGATAATTTTTCAGTCATTCATTGAATGATAAATCACTACAAGTGACGGAGATACGCGATTTAAATAACGGAAAATCCAATATTTGAAAATTGTATCTAGAATGACTGGAAAAGTGGAAACAAGGCCAGATATAATTTGCTCATTATGAACAAATCCAAAATCCTTGTAGACAAAGCCAATCATCAGTTCCCAACCATGGGGCGAATGAAATCCGATACATAAATCAGTTAATAAAAGAAGAGAAAAAGCTTTTATTGTGTCACTTAAGTTATATAGGAATTCCTGAACCCAAGAGTTAAGAATAACAAGTTCTTTATTACCCAAAAGAGAATAACCACTTAGAATAATGAAACAGATTATATTTGTCGAGAAGTGCAAAATCGTATGAATACGACCCTCGTTGTGTATCTTGATTAATTGGATTGTTTCTTTGTGAATTCCTATACGAAGGTTTTGTAGATGTGTCTCCGAGTATTCCTTAATCATTTCCTCTAAGAAGAGGAGTTCCTCTAATTCTATGAATTTTTCTAGAATACTCTTTTCTTCAATATCATTCAAAAAAGGTTCGGATTGCCTAGTATTCCACCAATTAGTAACCCAGGATTCCATACTTTTTTGAAATGAGAGAGAAATCCACCAGGGCAAAAATACTATAGATGCAAGATATAAAAGAGGAGTGAATGCTTTCTTTTTTTCCATTTTTTCATCTCTGAATTGTTAATGAACCTATCTCATTCGTCGACTCTATGTAATCTAATATTTCTCTCCCGCATCAGTTCTATTACAAGTTATCGAACCTATGAATTTAGAAAAAAATACAGAAATAGACGAAAAATTGGAATGGATAAATAATCAAAAAAGAATGTTTACCTATATCTCAATTGGTCAAATTCGAAGCACATATCTCCTTTCGATGAATGCCCAGAAAAATTGAAATAATGAATAATATTATTCAGATTTTGAGACGAAAGAACTCCTTTTCTATCATTATATAAAAATCTCTAATATTTCGAAAAAATTGAACTTACTCTGAGTAGTCAGGGATAGAATAATTGAGGGAAATTTCTGAAGAATATTGTGAAAAATGAGTGACAAAAAACGACATAAATTTGCTAATTATCATTATAAGAGATTCAATTTTTTGGTCATTAAGGAGCACAAAAAGTATAAAAATAAGCTTCGAAAAAATTACAAGATATGATCTCTAAAGTCTCAATTCCAACAAGTTAAAAGGGGTGGAATTTCCTTATTTCTAAATGGTTGATTATGAGATATTTCGATTTGTTTCTTATTTTTTTATTGAATTGAGTTATGTATATTTCGATACATCTAAATCGATACATCTAAAAGATCCCCAAAATAGTTTTTTTTATACTTGTTCCATATATGTCTGCTTTGACTCGAATGAATGTTCTGAAGAAACCTCAATTAAGTTATGTTATGGAAAAAGAGCATTCTTGCGTTTTTGCCCTCCTGCTGAGAAAGCATTCCGGCTCATTTCTTAAAATACTTCAATTGGTACACGCAAGAAATAGGCCAATTCAGCAGCTTTTTGTTCCATTTCCCGTGGAGTAAAATTCTCATCAGTACGAGTCAATGGAATGGCTCCCTGGCCTCTGATATCCATATAAAGGACACGACGAGCATAAATACCTTCTTTCACTTCTATTCTGACAGACTGAATATCTTTTATAAGAAATTGTAGGAAGACCCGACGATTTTTTCCAGGAAATCCCCAACGAAAGATACACACTATTCCGTCTTTTCTATCAAATCGATCATAACCACTACCTACATTCCACGAAATTGTGCACCATAAATAGGAGCTAATAAAAAGACCCGCGATTCCGTAGAAAGACATCACAATTCCTTGTGGAAAAAAAACTATTTCCTGAGACGGAAATAAAGATATCAAATTTCTACCAAGATAACTCGAGGTTCCAACCAACAAGAATCCTAATGAACCTAAAAAAAGGATAACAGCCCAGCAGAAATTACTTGTTTTTCGAGCCCCCGTTATAGGTTCTATCCATATATGTTCTGATCGACAACTCATACTTGATCCAGTTGATTTTTTTTGGAATTGAGAGAATACCCCAAATGAATTTGACTTTAGTCCTTTTTTTTTCCGAAGTAACTCGCATCAACTAGCACTAGTTTGATGTGATCCTTTAGGAGTAATTCATTAAATTCGTTAGATCTAAACTAATAACATACCCTTCGTACGATCTCACTAAAGATAGCCAAATAGATAGACCAACTTTACAGTTCAGCTATCCGTCAATTCGGGTCTATTTGAAAATAGCTAGAATCCATTGATCCCTATAGCATTTTCTGGAGACATAAGAGTTTTTCGGCGGAAGCCGCTTATACCATATTTTGCTAAATAGATATCTGTGTTATGATACAAGCGTCAGTTTTGAAAAAAAAAAAAATAGATGAGATTTTGTGCCATCGGCTCTAAACAATCTTGTTTTTTTGAACATGAAGAAATAAAGAAGCCATTGCGATTGCTGGAAATACTAGGCCTACTAAAGGCACCAAAACAGAGGGAAAGTTAAGAGTTGTCATAGAATGGCTACCTCGATTTACTATTTGTACCTGTTATTATTATTTATATTTTATATTTATAATATAAAGATATCTTATTATATATAAAGATATCTTATTATAATTTGATAATTCTAAATTGGAATTATTATTATTACTTAATAGCTATTAAGTATAAATATAAGTATCTATCTAAGTGAGTATATAATGTAGTTTTTGATCTTTCTACATGAAAGATTTGAAAGGATATGGATGAGATATTCTTTTCTTCATTTTTTGCTCTTGTCTTCGAATTTCATTTACTAAGCAAAAAGTTTCTTAAAAATTAATTAGATTCTATTTATATTTATAATTATATTGAATATATTGAAGGGTTTGTTAGAATCCCATCCATCAGGGATTCTTAGTCAAAATAGGATTATCGTAAGATATAAAAAAAGAAAAAATTCTATATTTTATAGATTTTCATTATATATGACGAGAAGAGTATATTTTTTTGATTTGCCTAATTTCACGAAAATAAGAATTTCATCTTTTATCTTGTTAATAGAGGCTTCTTGATCAATAATCAGGAATATAGAAAAGGGGCGGATTTTCTGTGACTTTTGATTCTTTATATAATTAGATCTTATGCCAACAAAGAAAACCCCATTCGTCTAATTTTAACTTGGATTCCGATAAACTAATTACTTGTTTGCTCAAAATAATTGAACTTAATGTTCTAATTTTGATTCAAAGGAAAGAAAGTGTGTAGTTGAAATAACTCACTTAGAACGCTTTTTAAAGGATTACGTGGTACGATTAGATCGAATAAGCCTTTCTGGAATAAATACTCGGCCGCTTGTGAACCCTCGGGTACTGTTTTATTCAATGTTTGTTCAATTACTCTTTTACCCGCAAAGGCAATGTAGGCATTGGGTTCGGCAATAATGATATCCCCCAACATACCAAAACTAGCTGTCACCCCACCGGTAGTAGGAGATGTAAGAATTGGTACATAGAATAACTTTTTATTTGATTGATAATCATATAAAGCAGAAGATATTTTAGCCATTTGCATCAAGCTCAAACTTCCTTCTTGCATGCGTGCCCCTCCGGAAGCACACACTATAATAAGAGGTAGAAATTCTTTAGTAGCGTATTCAATCAAACGGGTAATTTTCTCCCCGACTACGGATCCCATACTACCTCCCATAAACTGAAAATCCATAACCCCAATTGCTACGGTAATACCGTTTAGTTGCCCTCTGCCTGTTTGAACAGCCTCGGTTAATCCTGTATTTCTTTGATAAGAATCGATACGATTTTTATAAGGCTCCTCCTCCGAATGAAATTCAATGGGATCCAGAGAGACCATGTCTTCATCCATAGGCTCCCAAGTGCCCGGATCGATCAAAAGTTCGATTCTATCTAAACTACTCATTTTCAAATGATATCCACATTGTTCACAAAGATTCATCTTTGATTTAAAAAATTTCTTATAATTTAATCCATAACAATTTTCGCATTGAACCCACAAATGCCGGTATTGTTGAGTTACACCCATATGAGTAGAACTTTCTGGTATAGTTTCATCATCCGTTGTGATATCCTCGTCTTGACTAATATTTTCACTTTCACTACAAATGGAACTAGAAATGTAATTGTCATTACTGTAATTGTCATTACTGGAATTATCATTACTGTAATTGTCATTACTGGAATTGTCATTACTGGAATTGTCATTACTGGAATTATCGTTACTGGAATTGTAATTAACACTTAGAATGTAATTATCAATACAGATTTCGGACTGAAGATAACTGTCAATGCAACTATTAATGTGATTATTCCAAGTATACTGAGTATCATCCATGTAACGATCGTGGTCGGGATTCTTACTCTTAGATCCATTATTCAGATCACTAGAATTCCGATAAAAAGAACTTTCTAGTTCACTATAAAAAAGATGATCATTGGCAATCTCAAAAATATTCTTTTCAATATCAAAATATATAGAACAACTGTCCCCATTACTATATTTCACTAAAAAAGTATCATCAGAGAAAAAATTCCGAATGTCCTTGACGCCAAAAAAAAGATCAACATTACTGTAATTGTCATGACCACCCCAACCCTGAATGTTTTTATCCGTATCATTTCTATTCGGATCTTTACTTTCACTGGC